CGAAATTTTTCCCCTGCTGAGCCAGGCAAATTTCGATCCATGCATGGGCTTGGGAGGTTGTACGGAAATTGATCTACTGAGCGATTTCTGTACATGTGCCTTGGCGGCAGCGCTGATCAGTGTCTTCTTATGGTGGGGAAGTTTCTTTGCGGTCATAATACAAGAGCTCAGTGGGGGAATCAAGTTTTTTTTTTTTTTTTTTTTTTTTTAATTTGAACCTATTACTCATCTATGGGCTGCCTTAGGGGGGTGATCTTGTACTTTGATAGAGACATTTATATTTAACTACTTAGCAACAGAGTTTTGTGAAAAGTATATCTTCTGTTCCTGTACTATGTGATGGTGTGGATAAAAATAAGGCTGTTGCTGTGAATCTGAATCTTATGTAGTCTGACTCATGGTGAAAAATGTTGGGTGCGGCAAAGTTTTTTGCTGTGATTGATATAAAGTCTTTGTGTGAATGCAGTTGGGGGAAATAGTCTTTAAATTATCATTCACATTGTCAGGGAAATTGAACTACAGGACTTACTATAGACAGTAGACATCATGCTTTTTCGTTGATACGTTTCATTAAGCATGCGCAGCCAGAATTGTGGGAAGCCAATCGTTAACCCCCTCCTTACCCTGTCAGTATTGACCTTTTCCAAGGTGTCTTTGCATGCTTCCTGGGTTTAGGAGATTAAGCCTGGTTCTTGTGCCTTCATTGACTTGCCTAATTTCTTTGCAGTGCTGGCTTCAGATGAAGATGATGGGCTACTGATAGATTTGGGTCGGGCACAAGGTTCACAATCTGAGCAAAGCCCAGCAGAGAAAATGGTGTCAAAGAAGAGCGCCAGCAAAGCAGGAGATTCTAAAGGTAAAGTTATGCCTTGTATTTGTGTGATAGACAAAACCCAGCCATGATTGTAGAGTTAAAAAGAACCTAATGATAAAAATTAACTGGCATTACAAACTTGTTCACAAAAAAACCTTCAAATTTCCCCCTTACTTTATTGCTTTGATGGATTTAAACTTGCCTGTAGGGGGGAGCTTTTGACCTCCCCCACATGATAGTGCTCGTGCCTGATCTGCTGATCACCAGGGCTGAACACCAGTCTCATGAACATCATCAACACAGGTAAGCTGAACAACAGAAGAAAAAAGAGTAAATGCTTGTACTCCTACACTGGCCGATGGACTACGCAGTGACTGTAACCATACCTAGGTAGCCTATGGAATGCATGCCTTGCTGCCCTCAACGGACCAGGGGAATCCAAATGAACTGCATGCAAAAAGACAAAGAGAGGGTGCACAGGCCTAGTGCATTACCTTACAAATTGGTTTATTGTATAAAATGTGATATACTCACAAAGGAATAAAAGTCAAAGGCACATCATAAGAAATAAAGCAAGGTCCAATCTCCCTGGAAGGTGTCTTGTCAGGGACTATAGACCTCCAAATGGTTGACGCGTTTCAAGGCGATGACTCTTCCACAGAGCAGCTCTGAGAGAGGCATCGCCTCGAAACGCATCAGTTATTTGGAGGTCTATAGCCCCCGACAAGACACCTTCCAGGGAGATTGGACCTTGCTGTATTTCTTGTGATGTGCCTTTGACTTTTATTCCTTTGTGAGTATATCACGTTATACAATAAACCAATTTGTAAGGTAATGCACTAGGCCTGTGCGACCTCTCTTTGTCTTTTTGCAAGCTGAACAACAGAGCAAGGGAGAGACCCACAAAGGCTGGATTGGCCTGTTTACTTTGCTGGAAAGGATGGGTTAAGGGGATGCTGTCTGGGATCAGTGTCTGCTTAAAGGATGGACCCCAGGCAAATTTACAAAACAAATCTGTTATGTATTCATTAAAAATGATATTTAAATTAAATTCTTGTACAGTGATTTGACTTGATATCTGCATCCTATAATCCCCTGAACAGCAGAACTCAGTTTGGTAGAAAGAGGGACATCACTAGAAGACAGTCAGGGCTACCACAGTACGCATCTGCAGGCGATGGACATGCTGACAGACAGAGGAGAGGGAAGAGAGAGCAGCTTTTCTTTCATTGTCAAAAAAGCAAGCTGGGGATGTGTATGTCCTTTAGTAGTGCTGTAGCAAACTTCTTGACTGGATTGCAAGACTGGATGCAGAGAATTACAAATCCTTTTTAAACTAAAACTTTAAAACTGTTCCCAAGCACAGTGTCTATTTACTTGCTTTCTTAGGCCTGTTTCACACAGGCTTCAGCTTGTATAAAGAACTGTGAACAGCAGGCTTTTACAAAACATTTGAAGAAGTTTGTTGAAGATTTTAACGTACCATTCACCTCAAGTTTGTAAATGCACACCACGGATCCTGATGCAAGTGCTGATTGCTGCTTTAAACAAGCTGCTAGTAGCTTGTTTAAAGTGACAATCAGCACTCATATGAAAGGTGCTTTAAAGGCTTAGAGAAAGCTGCAGAAACCTTTGAAAAAGATTACTGAAAGATTCATAAAACCTTGCTGTTCACACTTTGCACTTATACAAGCTGAAACCCCTGTCCACACTGATTGACTTCAGTATAATAAGCCTGTTGGATTTTTTTACATGTGATTACTGCTGGCAGCTATAGCCGTCAGCAGTGAGCATTGTGTTCTGACGGCCAGGAAGGCTCCCCGCCGACAGAACAAAGTAGCTCTGTGGAAGGGATTCCCCAATCAACACTGACTGTATTGATGGAGGCATTGAGCAGTTTTCTTTTCCTCCACCCGTGCTGGAAAGAAAGGAAATAGCATAATCTATGGGCTGATTACTGCTGACTGATTCCACTTAAAGCGGTAGTAAAGTCCTGGTAGTAAACTAAAAAAGGTCCCCCCTTGCAGGTTTAAGTCATTATACTAGTATTCACTGCATACTAGTACATTATGACAAATTTACCTACAAACGGAGCCCTCTAATGCAGCATTGTCGTGGCTCCCCGGCGCCCTTCACCTGGTCTTCCTTCCGGGTTCGGAATCTTCGGCAGCTTGAATGGCCTTGCAGCTGTGACATCACTCCCACCCATGCACATGGGAGTCACATCACCACAGCATGCAAAGCATGTGCAGCTCAGATCACATTACGTAACCGCTGACAGACGGAGGGAGTTTTATAAAAGACCTGCCTGTCAGCGGATTTTGTACTTTTTAAATTTGCTACCAATTTATAATAGGAAGTGAGAAAAAAAATGACACAGGCAGCAGTTAAAGCTTGTTTTTTTCTGGGGGATGGGTTAGAACCTCTTTCAGGTTTTTGCTGCCCTTTGTGACCCTATAAGGCTATTTCCCTTCCCAGATTGATGTCCACATGGCACAGGGGTGAGATTTAAATCTAGGAGACACAGCAGTAAAAACAACCTGTCAGTTGCTGTAATCCCCCCCTGCTCTGTCCAGAAATTAGTACAAACATTCGTTCTCCCAATTTGTATAGATAAGAGTTACTCCAAAGACATGCTGGTAGGTTAATTGGCTCCTGTCTAAAATTTTCCCTAGTATGTGTATGTATGAATGTAAGTTAGGGACCTCAGATTGTACACCCCTTGAGGGTTAGGGACTCGTGAATGTACAATATATATGTAAAGCACTGCATAAATTGACGGCGCTATATAAGTACCTGAAATAAATAAATAAGAGTTAGGCTGCCTATATACTGGGCAAATTTCCCTGGTTCCTGTTGGCACTTCAGGAGAATGTGTTAGATTTATTTTTTTTAACTTGCAGTCTGAATGAAAAAATGTATGTGTATGGCCTGTGTATCTAAGTGTCTGGCCAGCTTTATTGTCTGTGTCTACATTAGAGAAATTTTCTCTCACTTCCCGTCCTGAAGATACCAGAGGAAGTAAGGAAACTGGTGCCTCCATTTAGATGGTCCCCTCTTCTTCTGGTGTATTCTATAAAATGAGAGAAGAGTTTCCTTATGTTCTGGCAAAAACAATAATATTGTGGCAGAGTTTGTAATGCTTCCCTACTAAACCTAAAAATGTATTTAAAAATGTTGGTTCGATCTCAACTTTAAAGGCTGCTTGTGCTTTTGCATATTATCACAACTGTTATCTGTTATCCAAGTAGTTTGTATTTATAGCGATGTCTATGATAGATGGACCTTTAAATTGAGACTGGAAACACAATTTTCTGTTTTATGGCATTTTTTCTTCTTAGATGTGTTTTCCATTGACATCAGTGCATGGAAATCAAACCATTAACGGTGCCTTTTAATACGTATTACAGTGCATTTTATTGTGTTTTCATTGAAATCAGTGGAAAATGTATTGGCCAAAAACATAAAGCTGTGTGTTCCAGCCTAAGTGCATGAAAGTTACATTAGCCCTAAAGTGATAATACTTATGTTCAATTGGTAATCAATTTTGTGGTTGATACCCCTGCCAGGCCAAGGTTCCCTTACATGTGAGATGTGTGGAGCGTGCTTTGAGACACGGAAGGGCTTGGCCAGCCATTCACGCTCCCATCTGCGGCAACTTGGGATTCCAGGGTCAGAAACCATTGGTGCTGCCATTGATATGCTGAAAGAAATAGTCAAGCAGGGCAAGCTTCCGAAAGATGAAAGCTCATTGGGGGCCAAGAAGGTGGTCAGTCCCCAGCAAGAATCCTCCAAATCCCAATGGGGTGATGAGGACGGGCCTTTGAATCTGAGTGAGTGGAGCTGGGAGGCCACTAGTGCCAGGGGTGGGCCTAGCAGGGCTGTGTAGGTATGCTGGGGGGTAGAGGGAGGCATCTGCTGTAATATTCATCCTATCTTACTCCTTCTTTTCTCTTCTCTTTGTCTCTTTGTTTTCCCCTCACCTGTCTCTGTCTCCTCATTTTTTACCATTTCTACTTCTTTCTTCTGTAACACTTTTGTAATTTGGGTTCAATTTTATCTTCTATATATTTTTTTCATTATGTTATTTTTCATCATTTCATTTCACTCCCTTTTTTGTTTTGTGTACCCCCCACTTCATCTTACAGGTGTGGAAGGAGATTCAAACCAAGAAAATGACTGCCAGTTTTGTGGTGCTTGGTTTGAGACCCGAAAGGGCCTGGCCAGCCATGCTAGGGCTCACTTGCGCCACTTGGGAGTTGCTGATCCAGATGCAAAGAGTTCCCCAATTGCCACACTAAACGCTCTTATAAAAAGCGAGGATTTCAAGAAGCAAATGTCTGGGCAGACAGCAGCTGACATTGACCCTCTTGCCAGAGTTCCTGGCCATAGCAATTCCCCTAATACAGAGCGTAACAGTAGCTCAAAGAGCAAAGAAACTGGTACTTTCATCAAGCCAAGAGAAAGCACAAATAAGGCAAACAGCGATGCCTCTGCAAATCTCTCTGAAGGTGGATATTGCTCTGTGTCGACAGAGAGTGGCCTGAAATTAGCAAATAGTACAGGGCCAATAGAAACTTCTGCACATTTCAAATGCCCTAGTGGATCAGGAAACAGCACACAAATCAAAATAGTTGAAGCTGGTGCTCCTCGTGTCCTGTCTCTTGAGGCTGGTGCTTACTCAAAATTAGTTGAAGCCGGCAGTTCCCAAGTAAAATCAGAGTCTGGTCATGGCCATGGTAAGGTGGAACCTGGTAACCAATCAAAACCTTCCATAGGACTTGCTCACCCCAAACCTACACTTGCTAGTACACCACCTACCAAGAAAATGAAGACACCTTCTCCATCTTGTAAATCTAACCTGGATCCGTACTGGGCTCAGAAAAATGCCTCCACTCCACTCAATCTTTGTGAGTAATTATAAGGTTTTAAAGCATAAGAAATATTTAATGATTTGTTGCATGTTTTTTTTTTTTTTTTTTCAAATAGCAAACCCGAAGATGATCTTTAATTACTTCCCAGATGACACTTTGTATACAGTTTGACTCTTTTGAGCAGCCTTTCTCAGCCAGGGCTTCATGGAACTCTGTACGATTTCTCCAGGGGATAATAGGGGTTTCTTCAGGAGAGAGCAGTGGCAAATTGATCATCAGCCTACAATGACCACCAATGTAAGGGGTCACTATATTTTTTTAGTGTGTGTGTTTCTTTTCTGGCTATTATTGATAATTGTTTCAATTTGAAGATAAGTACTGAATAGATTTTTGTCATATAAAGATGGGGGGATGCACCTCATTCTTTTTCTACAACCTACTGATCTTGCTGATTATTTACCATGAGCTGTGGGTATAATTTTTTGTGGAGTTTCTCTAAGTCCTGAAAGCTATTTCAATGGTTCCCCCATTATAGAAAGCTTGAGAAAGGCTGTTTTAGAGTGAAATCCAGCAACAGGTGCATCAAATGCAGCAAGGAAGGCTACATCACCAAGGGGAAACAAGTTAATTATATGTGTGGTTTATCAGATTACCTGATTATTGAATGTCATTTTGTTATAGCCTACTTTGCTAAGTAAAATAAGCAACACAGGATCGTTAGATCTGTTACTTTCCTTCTGCCACTATTTTTATTCATACACACTGTTTATGATAACCCCCTTTAGCAAAAATTGAGTAAGGGCAGATGTTTCATGTAGTATTTACTCCCTGGAATCCATCTGCCCTTAGCTCAGCCATGCAGGCAGGAGGCTGTGCTTAGCTGAGAAAACCCCTCCCCTCCTGAAGACTCCTGGGATGTATGACATCATTTGCCTAGGCCTGGAAACCAGGAAGAAATTAAAAAAAATTTTTTTTTAAAACAAGTAAATATGACATACTTCCATATTCATCTATTTAATAATGCTAGCAGAATAAGCATTAAAAATAGTCAGTGTTGACTTAGAGTGTGACGTTCCGTTTTTAATTGTCAGTTATGTTATCAATTTCCAAGAATTGGGACGGTGTCCTGCTATTTCCTGTTTCTGTGAAACAAAGGGAAAAGGAGAGTCTGTCACTTGGAAAGATGGACACAGTATAAGTATGTATGTGTATATATGTGTATGTATGTATGTGTATATATATATATATATATATACACCCTCGTCTTGTAAATCAACCCAAATCAAATCAGTTTAAAATAGGAATGAAAGGCAAAACATTTGTGTATACATATAAAAAAAAATTATACATACATCTTTACTGCCTTTTTTTTCATAAGTGATCACATACCCTCTGTTTTCAGCTGCATAGCGAGATAGTGGAGAAGAAACCAAAGCACACAAATCTTCCCAGTGAAGGGGTGGAAAGGATGTCAGCACACATCTGATCATTGGAAGAGAGCAAGCTGAGTTTCCAACAAAGCCAGCTAACTGACCATGCTGTACTTTCATTCCTAGTGTAGTCAGTATTTCATAGGAAAGGATGGGACTGACTAGAACACCAGGGATTTCATACAAAAGAAGCAATACAGCAAGAATGGAATGCTTTTTCATACAAGTACATGGTACAGCAAGCACATATCAGGAATATGAAATGTTGGGTTGACATATTCTCTAAACACCAACAGTTTCTAATACTTCCCCAATTTAGTAAAAAAAAAAAGTATGCTTCTATTCAAGACTTTAATAAACTGCCACTGTCCCCAGCTCAACTTGCCTTGTCTTTGCTCCTCCACTAAGGACTTATAGAAATAGGGGGCATATCTGACGTACGAACCTTTCTTCCATTTGGCATTACTGAATATGGTGATTGGCCCCTCATGCTCCCCACACTCTCACGTGGGGAAAGAGTCTTCTTAGTTTTCTGTAAGCTTGTTGTAGGGGAGCAAAAGAAAGCAGTGACAGACCATGCATTTCACACCTAGGCCTTCAGTGATGTCCTGTCTGAATTAATTCAGCATGAAAAAAGCAGGGCCTGGGTTAGCCAGAGTTGACTGTATAAAAATGTAAATAAAATGCATTATACAGTGGGTATAGAAAAGAATCGCCCCCTTTAAAATATTCACATTTTGTTGCTTTGCAGCCTGAAGTGAAGACGGGCACCATTTTTGTTTTATCCAGCTGTATTTACTCAGTGCAACTTATAACATCCAAGTGAAAGATATAACACCAGCATGTCAGAACAAAATTAAAAAAAATTGAATCCCGGAGTTGGAAAAAGGATCACTTCCTTCCTAAACTCAGGTGTAGCTAATCATCTTCTCAATGGCACACAAAGTCATTTGACTTTCAACTGATCAGCTGTAATCATTTTGATTAGCTCAGCATAAAAAGAGCTTTCCTGGAGCATTTCAGTCCCCAGTAGTGCAACTGAAGCAAACAGTCAACTATGGGTGACAAAGTACTGTCAAAATGTCTCTAGGATAAAGTTGTGGACAGGCACAAGTCAGAAGATGGATACGAAAAAAAATGCAAAGGCTATATCAATGCCTAGAAGCACAGTGAAGTATTTTATTAATAAGTGGGAGGTATTTGGCACAACACAGACCCTCCCTGGATCAGAACGTCACTCTAAACTGAAAGAGCCAAGAGGAAACTGGTCAGAAAGGCCACCAAGAGCCCTACAGCAACTCTGAAGCAGTTGCAGGAATTTATGACAAGGAGTGGCCATTGTGTGTATGTGACAACAATATCACAAATTCTCCACAAATGTGGCTTGTATGGGAGGGTTGCAAGAAAAAAGCCACTTCGTAAGACAGGCCATATGCAGTCATGGCTGAACTTTGCCAAAACTCACCTTTAAGATTCTGAGGCCACATGGAACAAGGTGTTATGGTTAGATGAGACTAAAATTTAATTATTTGGCCTCAACACTAAGCGATATGTCTGGAGGGAATCCAATACAGCTCACCATCAAAATAACATGATTAGCATAGAGGTGATAATATCCTGTTATGGGGTGTTTCTCTGCAGCAGGGACTGGAGCACTTCTCAGGATAGAAGGGAAAATGGGACAAAATACCATCACATTTTTTAGGAAAATCTGCTGCCCTCTGCCAGAAAGTTGTCAACGGGAAGAAGGTTTGCACGCAGCAAAAATTAGCACACAGTGGTTGAAGGAGAAAAAGGTGAATGTCCTTGCATGGCCTAGTCAGAGCCCAGACTTAAACCCCATTGAAAATCTGTGGAATGCTTGAAGGCTGTAGTCTACATACAGTCACTATAAAATTTAACTGAACTCGAGCAGTTCTGCAAAGAAGAGTTGGCAAATATTGCAAAGTCTAGATGTGCAAAGTTAGTAGAGACATGTCCCAGCAGAGTAAAAGCTGTTATCAAAGTAAAAGGTGGTTCAACAAAATGCTGACACAAGAGGGTGATCCTTATTCCAACTCGGTGATTCTGTTCCTTTTTTTTTGACGTGTTGGTGTTATATCTTTCACTTGGATGTTATAAGTTACAGTATTCAGTAAATACAGCTAGATAAAACAAAAACTGTGTCTGTCTTTATTTCAGGCTGCAAGACAACAAAATGTGATTATTTTAAAGGTTGGTGATTCTTTTCTATACCCGCTGTACTCACCAACACTACTGATTATTTGTACACAGAATCCATCCTTCTTTCATTCCTCAAGAAGACTTCAGTTACTCTGTTGTACAGGTTATCTGTGCATTTCAGTTCCAACAATAAGTTCTTTTCTATCGCCATGGAGGCTAATGCTGAAAATCGAGTATGTCCAGTTGTATTTCTGGTATAAGTTATTGTACGCCTGCTAGAAGGCCCCGGTGTCACCAACTGAAAATCTGATTAGTTATAGCAGCAGTTTCATTGCCATTTACTGTAAGCTACAGGAGCCAGCACTGTTGATTTTGAAGACCTCAAGGCAGAATTATTTGACCCTGGCAACACATGATGGCCATCATGGCTGAAATACGATTGGATAAAAGCTCTAACATAAAAATACACTACTGGAAGCAGTGCAACCAAGGGAAAAGCTATGGAATGAAACAAATAGACTATTAGGAATAATTTAATACACATTCATGAAAAATAACATGATTTTTGTACTTATTGTAAAATCCCTTTCTTTGAGTTCATTGGCGGACACAGCTTCTCTTCTCTTGATATCCATAACAGATAGGGTTTATATTGCCACCTACCAGGAGTAAAACACTAGCTAGGAAAAAAAAGTCAGCACCTTCTACAGGCAGTTCTCCCTTGTATAAAACCCCCACTCACTGCATAGTTCTTTCTGCCTAGTGTTCACAAATTGCCTCCCCACCTGGTCACTAGTTTGTAATAAAGCAATATTAAAAGTAAAAACTCCAAGGGTGGGTGTCCGTCGGTGAACTCAGAGAAAGGGATTTTACAGTAAGTACAAAAATCACAAGGGGTGGATAAACCAGAAAAAGAAGCAACTAGGCAAACATGCCAACCCCAGAACTGACATGAAGGGGCCCATGAAAACTTTAGACAGCAGCCTGCAAAATTTTTTCGGCCCAAACTAGCATCCGAGGATGCCAAAACAACTTTGTAGAACTTTGTAAAAGTGTGCACAGATGGCAAGGTCACCGCCTTGAAAGCCTGAGACACAGGTGTCTGATGTTGTTACACTCGAGGCATTAACTGCCCTGGTGCAATGCACCGTCACAGGGAAGGGAGGCAGCTGCCATTTAATGGCATGTACCTGAACAATAGTCTGCTGAATCTAATGGGAAATAACGGTGGAAGAGGCTGCCATGGCCTTCCTTGGACCGCCCAAGAGCACAAAAAGAGGCTGCAGCAGATAAATACACCCGAATAATCCAGACCACGTACAAGGAGTGGAATACCACTTCCTTAGAATGTGACAGCTGAGAGCACAGGGAAGGAAGGACAATGACCTCATTCAGGTGAAAAGCCAGCACCACTTTCAAAAGAAAGAAGGGAGACGGACGAAG